TGAATGTGTTGACAGCACAATCAAAGAGATGAACACAAAAATGTAAAATTGCCACATGATAATTATACAACTTGGAGAAAGATGTATTATAGCAAGCAATCTCACTGAAATTAAGTAATTGAAAATTTTGAACTCTTAGGCTGTAAGGTAGTTAAAATATAGCTAAGTTTTTCTAGCTAGCTGGAAAACGAGCTATTCGAGATTGCATATGAAGTGATTCTAGGAGAAAAAGCTATTTCATCCAGAGCTGCTGAAATCTAGGCGTGTGTTGTTACACCAACACCTCCCCTCCCACCCAGCAACCCATCAACCATCTCCAATTTATTCTTTACACTTAGGATTATGACCAAGTTCACGTACTTAAAAGGGAGAAACCACAGAGACATCACACTGAAAGTTTCTCTGCTTTGGTCCAGCAGGAAATTCCAGTTGCTTCATTCACCGGAGCCAGTTAAGCTGCTGAAATGAAATGGATGATCGGAGAGATCACTATGTCAGGACACAGACTTGACTTTCAGGGTTGGAGGAAGCCAGACAAAGATGAATGGGATTCAGAGCCTGAACTCAAGGTCAAGGTCTTCTGAATCACAAACAGCCGATGGGTCTGGGAGAAGAAAGAAAATTCAGCGCCAAATGGGAAAACCCTTAAAGTCTGCATAGTTCTGCTTGTAGGTAAGAACACAGGTAGGAGGCGGGAAGAGAGGGGGCAAGCAGCCCCAACGCTCGCCGACATCCCCAGGGTTTTACAAACGGATCGTCCTGAAGTCTCCAAAACTGTAACTACTATAAGCCCAAATGTATATTCTCCCCTAGCTTTTCCAACAGGCTACCTGCCTGTGACCCTTTTCCCACGGCCTTGGCTCCTCCTCTGTCTACAGCGCCGGTCTCCTCTCAGCCTCCCACACAGACAGACAGAGACAGACACAGACAGAAGTAGCGGACAGGGGGACTGGGCCAGCCCAATTCCCACCCTCCGCGCCCACTCCCTCGAGGTAGCCAAGACCCTCCAGGAGTCCGAGTCACAGAGTGCTCTGCGCCCCTGCCACCTGCCCAGCCTCCCGCTGGGATCCGGCGGTCCCCACTCGAGACCCCGACATCGTGGGGCTC